ACATTATTTCATATGACTGCTAAGATCTTCATGCAGACATTTTTTGACATAACTTTAAAATTAAAACAACACAATGTAGTATGTACATTCTCCTGAAATGAAATGACGGTTATTTGTGATTTGAGTCCGCAGTATTATCTAAAAAAATTCATAGTTAAATTATTCGTACAAACATAGGAAAAAAACTCAATTTCTYTCGCTGTGCCTATATTACACTAGAAACTATAGAAGATAATGCACAAGAAATAATATGCACACGATGGAAACATTTTCAAAGGACCTAAATTATATTTTTCATAAAATTATTTATGTCACGCGAATATTTCAATTTAAAATTAGTTTTTTAGTAAATACAACATTATAGTCATTATACACCTAGGTGCAGTATGCAAATAATCGTGTAATTTAATTGTCAACACCGTATTTACAAAACACTGTTTTGTTCGGATGATATGATTTGTATTCAAGCAATGTTGTCGAGTCCTGACAGCTAACAAAGTGTGAATATGATAAATATTTATGAATCTTCACCATTATTATATACAACACAACATATATACAGACCAACGAATGTTGTCTAGCACAGTTGTTGTTGTTATATTAACGCTCAAAAACAGAATTCACGTTTGTACCCTCTGCAGCTGCAAGTGTGTCGTTGACAATTATTTCACTCTCTATAATATAGTATAATTACTTTGGAGTTTAGACGTTCTCGAATTCGTTTTAACTTCAGTAGCTATGTCAGAAATCATAACAGTGTTTATATCTACTGAGTTATTATGCATAGCATCGTCATAATTCATAACTCATCTGCTCAAGACATAGTATAATAGTAATGGAAAAAATTATCTCAATTTTAGACAGTATTTATCACGGGTATAAAATCATAACCGTGTATATAAATTAATAAAAATAAATTATTTACTATACATGAAATATTATTATTAACATAATGACTTAATTTTAATAACATCGAAATAACGACTATAATAACGAATAATAAATTGAAACTCATAAATCTTAATCACAGTTCTTAAGTACCAATATAATTCTTCGTCATGTTGAATACGCATATAGCATGCAATACGGTCGACTAACGTTTCGTTTCAAGTGAAAAGCTTTTCGGTCGGATCTCGATTCTTGCCGTGCACATACAAATCGATATCCAAATAACTTGATTACTATTACATACGCGTATCGAAATCCATTGAGACGCACTCTACCTTGCTGGTTTGGTTTATTTCCGATTATCAACAATAACGTATAGTCATCGGTGGTCGGGGCGATTCAATTAGACTTTTGAAAGACGAAAAAAAAACTGTATATAATAATAATAACAAAAAAAAAAAAAAACCGTTACATGTTTCCAGCAACAAATGGGGGATGAAAGATTCCTATTTTACGGTTGGTCACACATTTTAATATCCGGCGTACGTCGTTGATTTTCGCTCGACACAATACCGGCAAAAATGACATGGATTATTGGATTTGGACCCATAAGCCCTGTCCAAAGTGGGTTCCATTGTATCGCCGTTCTTGGTGAAATAATGGTTTACTAAAATCCAATGATGTTTCTGTTGTAGTACATCGTACACGTTTAGTGTTATAATGCAGAGGCGACGGAAAACAACAATAATATAAACACATAAATAATAAAATATATTTACTATCTTTATGATTTCGACGTTTGGCTTTGACTTCAAGCGAGAAAAATGTTGATAATAAGTAAATTGCTTAATACAATATGTTAAACATGAACTTGTTATACAATTAGTTAACTACTGAGACTCTATGAATCGTATAAAATATTATGATTGTTTTACATGTRCGCAAAGTAAGTTATAACAATTCATGATATTCAATTTAAGGGGACATCAGTTCAATTTTTGTTTCTCGCTCAAACCCACGATACGCAACATAGATAAAACGCTTTCACCCAAAATTGTTTTTTATTTATGACTTTTGAATAATCTTAGTGTAAAATTACCAATTACAAAGATTAAACAAAATAATATTTTTGACGGTATGACATAATATCAGTTTTATATTTTTATTATTATTTAAATTTGTATTCGACTTTTAAATAAAAAATAATATTTAAAATGTTTTGATATATCATACTATCAAAAATATTAATTTTATCGTTTTTGTAATGGGTGATTTTACTCTAAGATTATTCCAAAACGCATAAAAAAATGATTAACCGTAAATTAGTTTTGTAGAAAACAAACAGTGCGGCTGACATCCTCTTCAGTTATGAATGTCCAGCAAAACATATTTTATCGAAGGAAATATTTATATAAGCACTTTAGGATAAACACTTTTTAATTAAAATTTTTAGTTTAACTAATATAATTAAAAATGTTTAAAAATATTCTGCATAGTATTTAAATAGTCACTATTATACATTTTTAATGTTAACAAAATGTTTTCATTTAATTTTTAATTATGTATAATGTATATGTTTATATTTCAATCGATTAAGTTATTAATAAGTTTATAATGTTTACAATTCGCATAATTGAAATTCTTTATTACATATATATATATTTTGTTTTAAAACTTCTCATTTTGTATATTGTATACATTAGTTGAAGTTTCTCTTAAATATGCATTTTATCCTATTAAATTCCATAAGATTTACAAAACATGTACCATTTTTTTTTTTTTTTTGCAGATTTATTGCCTCATAATTTATCCGGACAGGCACCAACCAGAGAGTTTCTATTAAAAGTTGTTGATATCTTAGTAGATTATATCAATGACGTTAATGATAGAGACGAAAAAGTATTGCATTTTAAGCACCCCGAGGAGATGTTACGACTTCTGATGTTGGAAATTCCCGACAAAGGTGTACCGTTGCAAAATTTAATCGACGATTGCAGTCTAACACTCAAGCATCAAGTAAAAACAGGTAAGAAATTTGTTTTCAATGATGGCATTCTCAAAAACCGTTTCGGTGTTTGAAAGAGTTCATGTGCGATTATGGTGTAGGGTTTTCAAAAGTTCAAAGTCAAAAGCGTATTTCCGTGGTTTGTATTCGTATACAAAACTTATTATTAGAGCCCGGAATTATATTCTTTTGCATATTTTTTATGAGTCTATGCAGTCAGACGGGGGTTCGAAACCTTTACGAATCATGAAACAGGTGTAATAGKTAATGGCAAAAGTTTTTTTTTGCATATTTGAGAATATTTCAAGATAAAAGAATACCTATTTCGTAGTATAATAAAGAGTATTATAGAGAATATATCGATTAATTTGTATAGATGTTCGATATTTTTGGTTGCAGTGACGTAAATAATATAAATTATATTATGTCCGATAATAATGATAATGATATATGATATTAAAAATATACTACCTATATATTATTTATATACCATCGTCCATCGTATATACGATTGTTATATCCTACGTAATAATGTGCTGCAATCCACTGTATAGTACCTATATAAGATATGTGACTAATCTAAGATAACAATGCCCGACAAAAAATGGAATTACTACACAAAAATAGCTAGCTCCAAGCAAAAAGCATGTTTTTGGCATATTTTATTATGATTTTTAAAGAATATTTTCAACTTTTTAAGATAATATTAGCATCTTATTTTGGATATTTTTAAAGAATATAATTCCGGGCTCTATGCTTATTATTTATTATATGGGCGCATACATAAGATACGCAATTAAGTACATACGACATAAAATATATTATTATATTAAATACAACACGTTACGGTACGGTTTTATACGAAGAAACATATGTTCCCAATGTGTCATATAGGGTTTCAAACTTTATCGAGGGGTATGGGGTGTGATGATTCTGACGACAAAAACGCCCTTGATATTAGTGTTTCGAGAACAAGTGGTGCTCTACACATCAAATTGTGGCCGGTGTACGTGACAGCTTTCGACACACGAAAGAGCAATCGATTTTCAACAAATACGTATCCCTAAACATTTATACAGGCGTGTACTGTACCTACTCGATAAGATTGTTTGGTTGAGCATTATACTAAACTTGTGCATTTAACAATGACATATTTATAAGAACGGTATACATCATACATATGTAATRGTAGTAGCAAAATTTAATACTTTAGACACTAAATCTGGTTAGGTTAGGAGAATCAGAAGAAGTACACTGTATAWAGTTATTACAGTCTTAAATACAGGATATATTATTTATTTATGTGTATATTATTATGTTTGTCATCATTAATTTATATCCATAAACTATTTCGTATAATATCTTCTATTATGAAATTTGATTTGAAGTAAAATTAAAAGTCTGCTATCGAGAGATTCCCAAAACACATTTTAGTATACCAGATTCAATATGCTATAGGATGGTTTTTTTTTTTCATAGTATGCACTCACCATCTCAAAAATTAGTATGGTTTTTTAAAAAATATTTTTATTTACATAATTTGAATTTATTACAAAACATCCATTAATGATTGGTATCATTTATTATATTCATTATTGATATCATATTAAGAAGTAGTCATTTTTTTCAGAATTTGGGTATACTTGATTAATTAGAAATTTGTAAGTAATGTACACATAAATACTTTAAAGGCCAACAATTTACAGAGTTTCCTGTATTTTACTACTCTTCATTTTAATTTCATCACTTTTATAATTTATTAAAACTTTGTTAGCTATATAGGTACTATTATGAATGTATTTTAGTTATACTACTTAGAGCCATATAGGCACTTAAATTGTACGTATTCCCAAACTTAATAGTTGATATTACATTTTATTGGTGGTTGTAACTTTGAAAGTAYTCAATTCAACAGCGTTCTCAAAATTACACGTTTTAAGCATTTACGTATGRTGTTAGTGATGTTACTATTGTAAGTTGTGATCATGCATAGTATGTATAATTAATGTATACAGCATATTATCTATACCAGTTAGTATCTAYACCCATTATATACAGCAGCATTTCATTTGATTTAAGATTTGTAATTTAATATAGCAGCTAAACTGCTTATTTTCTGAACTACAAAACATCCATATTTTACTGAAAAAATGTAGTTTGCATCCACCTGTTTAATAATCAAAAAAATAAAAATTATTCGTTTGAATTTCAATAGTACGTCAGCATTTTCGAAAAAAAACAAGGAATTTGGTTCTCATTTAAATAAATATGTGTCAAGACACTCCTAATTTATTAGGACTTAGATATAATTATCCATACCAACGAAAAAAAAATAAAAATAAATTATAATGCTAATTTTTAAATATTGTTTACAAGAAAACTTGAGAATTCAGAATTTGAATAAACACAATTGGCAATTTGGCACGCTTGGTGATTCACCATGTATAATAATTTTATGTTTTACAAAATATTTAATAACATGCCGATGACCGTTGCGCAGTGGCCGTGGTTGACAATGCGCATAATGATAATATAATATATTATTATTATTATTATTATTATTATTATGTGACGACACCAAAGGACCCGCGGTCATAACGCGCATAATACAATTGTTGAAATCTTCACCGCGGCTGTTGTGCGTATTCACTTGGGGTGAAATCGTTTTTGAATAGCCCCGGAGATTTTGGGCGGCGAGGGGGTGTTATCACCACTGACGTCTGTCGTGTGCCCGTAGTGTGTTCGGTGACATCCGCCGTGCCTCGATGTTTTCATTATCATAATCTTGAATCGGATTAATTTCCCGGCACACCACTTTTCCGACCACTCACCCCCCACCACCACCACTACTAACATCCTTTTGGAGGCGCCCTCCTCGAAATGATGACTGCGGCGATGATAATAATGTAAAAACAAACTGCGGTAGTAATATTGCACGTACGGCGTAGGGTTTCCGAGTCGCGTCCGCGATCTACCATTTGCGGTTCATTGTTGTGCGCCGCAGAAATTCGAATCAAAAATCCGTCAGAAACTCATACGGTTTATATAGTATAATACGAACACAACTTCAATATATATATTATTATTATATTATTATAGTATGTACTACTCGTAAAACKCCTTTTGTACGTACAATCATGTATATCATCTGATTATATTTTTTACWGTTAAATTACATTTAAATATTATGTTAGATCTTTTATACGTCCTATATGCAATACACATATAAATATATAATATATAATGTAAATACTACTACGCCACAGAATCCGACAGCACTCACTTTTTTTATACTTTTTTTTTCATGATTTAATCAATTATGATCTTCGAATTGATATTTTTCACTGATGGTAATATTACAATCATTAAAATTACGTGTTCATTATTTTATACAAAATATGTTCGATGTRCCTATGATAATCCGCTGCATTGGTTGAGTGACTTTGTTAGTTCGCCGTTTACTTTGCGGTCGGTTATATGTACCTTGCTGTACATTGTGTGGAAAAATAATTTGATTAGAGTTTATTTTTTGGACTCCTATTTATACCTTTTAAACCGTTAAAATATTTTCATTATTATTATGTTCATTTTCAGACCGTATAAGTACGACGTCCGTTTATAATAATTTCTAAAGACCGCAACAGAAATAAGTAAATAATAATATAATTCTATATAGACTTTTTCTCCGTAGTCGAATCACAAGATGTTCGATAAAAGGACAATAGAATCTGTTTTATATTTTCAGTGATACTTATTTCAAATCGATTGAATAAAATACATATATCTGATATAGTGATATATTTATGCATTGTACGCGTTTTTCCGATTCAAATCTCGGTGACGTCTATAATATAATAATAACAGATAGTTATACGATTCTTTTCAATCTATACGTAAATATGACCTAGCCATAATATTCTACACAATATAATATCATCCATCATCGTGCGTTCCGAGATAAAAAAAAATAAATAAATAAATATTAGATATTCCCTTAGGCCTTTACAATATTTCTTTAAATAATTTTTTTACATCAGTGACTTAGATATTTTCCAAGAAAATGTTATATTCCTACTGTATAGTGTATTTTATGCCGGACATTTTCTTTGACTATGGCACTTTGCACCTTCATTTATAAACACATATTGRTCTAAGTTTAAATTTCCTTAGAGTTATATTTACATAATAATATAACATATTGTGTATCATGTTGCATCCATAAAAGTATTATAATATAAGTTTTAACAGTTTGAGTCRWCGAAGGCTTATGTGCAATATATGTTCAGCCCGTGMAAACTTCTTTCTCGGCAATAATTTCTGTAGTTTCTATGTGTAAATAAACTTTAAAAAATAAGGTACCTATGTTAAAACATAAACAATAAGTTTTGGCGATTACTTTTGTCATTATATTGTATTTTTAAAATAGAAAATACCGAAGTAATTTATTACATTATATCAAAGTAACATTTTATATTCAGAAATCAGCATAATAATATATTTCTTTAAAATTCAATAAATATTAAAATTTAAATAAAAAGATAATTAAGTGGGTGTCGCTCTTCTGTACATTAAGTGCGTTGTTACTACTCACTGTGATGGATATTTACATCATATTGTGTTAAATTTGAATTCTTTGGCATTTTTTAAGTGCAGTTTCTATTTCGTTAAGTGTTATGCTTACGTTCAGGTCAATTTTTTGCAGTCATTTGGGTTTATTCTATTTGCTTTTATTTGTGCATTTTTATTCCGGCAATGAATTCAAGTTCATAAATTAATTGCTGAAATTTTCTTAAAAATATGAACTGATTTTTTCTACCTCTTCAGGAATTCCCGCTTTTCATTTGTGATTTTTACCGACGCTTTTAAGAACTATCCCTTATATATAAAAACAAAACTCACTGTCCTATAAGAAAATATGCTAGAATTGAAAATTGGAGCATTTTTACTACCATGGAATTACCATAAGGTGATGAAATACACACAAAAAAAAAA